TCTTGTTACGAAGAGTTATTGAGAGTGAGCCTCTGGACGAGAAACGATTCAAATCCCTTAACCGAGCAATTGATTGCCGGTAGTTGTGTTAGAACCGAAAGCAATTATCCCGATTCCCTAGCTCTTTAATCATTTGAGTTTATTCACTTGCTATTTAATTTGTTTGCATTAGTTTTAAATCTTTAGCTGATAATTAAAACCCCCAAAATTATTGAATAGAGTGTTTAGGAATTTTTCTTTCCTTTCTCGTGGCCGAATAATCGTACAATTGAATCCGGCTAACCTTCCTTGCGATACGACCCGGGGAACGAATCTTTCGATTCTACTCCGATAAAAATACTCACAACAATATTCCTCGAACCAAAATGAGAAAATCTCCTTTATATATTAATTCAAACCAACTTGCATTTTAGCTCATGCGATGCATGGGTAATAACAAATATAATAAAAAGATTATGTATTTAAATTTACTTTAATATGTGAAATTGTTTAATAGCAAGTGTGACATGATTTTTCGTATTGATTATTGTTTGTCTAATTAGTGAAAATTATATAAATATGAATATAGTCATTAAAATATAGATTAATAACTATGTAGAACTCTTTTATTATATAAATAATTAGTAAAAGTATCAATATGAGTTCAATATAGATAATATAAATATATTATATTTATAATCAAGTACTCAAGACTATTATTAAAATAATATAGATAATATAAATATATTATATTTATAATCAAGTACTCAAGACTATTATTAAAATATTTATTTGTGAGTTGTCCCACATTATTTATATATGGAAAATAAACTTAATCTATTAGTCTATTGGGCTATTCCTCGTTCCACACCAATTGATTTTGGGATAGAATCTCACTTCGGCTTCATCTGGAATTTCCCTGACTTGGTGCACTTTATCTCCGTGGAACTGCACTCGTTTTTCCCTTGTTTCTTACAACTATAATAAGTGATTGTTTTTGTTACTGGATTTGACATTTGAGTTGTGCATACCTTTATTTCTTTAGCTAAAAGCAGTTCTTAGGGATCCCAAAAGTAGAAAATTATTCATTCAAATTACCTCATAAGTATATAACTAAATATGAAATCAATTCAACTCAACAATTCCCATACATTACTCTTCTTCTTCTTT